TCTACTTCGTAGACTAGTCCTGCTTACAGTAGATCACACCGCTTTCTAGACACAGACTGCTGTTTTCACCCTCCTGCTAACTTAACCACCTAACTGCTTAGCTACACATTAACTGATTATCTAAACCAGTTCCTGCTATTTTCTAGACAGGTAACCTGCTTACCTAAACAGTACCTGCTGTGAATCAACTTGTGAGAAACGTGGTGTATCTTTTTTCTCTCTCACTCACGCGCTCACTAATTCTAAACAAACACGGAAATAGCAAGTAGAGAAAATGACGACTACGTTGTATTGGGCTGCAAAACCTGTTACAGCAGCTTACTAGAGAGGTGGCACGTTAACTGAAAGAGGAGGCAGTACCTGCTGGAACACTAGTGTGGGGACAGTGCCAGTAAACAAGGAAATATCTAATGAGTGAGAGTTAACTTGTGGGTCCGTCAAGCTCAGTACTGGAACCTTACTTCAATCCTGGTATATGTAACAATATTCGCCAGAAGATATGAGTCCCTATTCGTTGTCTGTGGTGCTAGGAAGTAAGTAATGGAATGATGAAGAACTACCAGGGGAAGATTAAGACACTATTTTAATTTTTTAAATATTTATTGTGGAAGGTTTCCTCGAACACGTGGCTTCCTCAGTCGGTGCAGAAGTGAATGGTGGGAGAAAGAAGATACGAGTAATCAGTCCGGGTAACTGTGGTCCGTCAGCATCAGTATGTGTTTAATCCTTCAGTCTCAAGACGTGAATGAAGACATTGCCTCCAATGAGAGACTGATTACCTCAGTCCTTCCACTATCTTCTGCACTGACTGAGGAAGGCAACTGTATGGCAGAATCGTTTCCATAATAAAGATTCCCAATGTTGCAAAAGTGTCTAATTCTTCAAAGTGTCGGTTTTTTAAACCATTCACAACATACCCAGAGATGATGTTGCTAAGACACGTGTGCAACACTTAGGTATCTTTATTCCCAAACGTTTCGCCTACACCGTAGGCATCTTCAGTCTAGTACAGAAGAGTCAGGAGAAGCAGTAGAGATGTGAAGACGATGTAATGAGTCCATCACCCTTGAAGACATAATTTTTAGGTATTGTATAATAATGTTATATTTACAACGACAGAGGAGGTACAGGAAGACCTGGACACACTGCACCACTGAAAATCCATTATTTTAGAGTATACAAAAACTAATCTCTTTGATTTTCTTGCACTTTTCAAAGAATTTCTTTTGAAAAATAGGTGGATTATTTAAAAATTAAGAAAAATGTGCTCAAATGTTATTTTATCTGATCCAATATATGACTACCAGAGGTTAATCCAGAACAGTGTAAAGTAATGCGCGTCAGCGAGTGTGAAGGAAGATCAAATCCTGTATAAACTGGGAAGGAAGAAGCTACGGCAAACAGATAAAGAAAAGGACCTTGGAGTAATTATTACACCGAACATATCGCCAGAGGCGCATGTAAAGCATGACATCAGCAACATATAAGAGGCTAGTATATCTTAAAGTTGCCTTCAGAAACCTCAGTTAAGAATCTTTCGGGATATTGTACATGACGTGTGTCATACTTATCTGAGAATTCGCAGCATCCGTATAGAGTTCAAACTTTAGACAGCACCTTGGAAGACAGAACAACCAGGAGTGACATGATAAAACAACGTACGAACTCCTCAGGTGTTTTAATACAGCAGACAAAAACTGAAATGTGAGGCAGAGGGCGGGGGAAGAGGGCATGGGTAGACTGTGGGAACAGACACATGTGCCACACAGAGGTTATAGTACACACAGTAAGAGTGAAGGAACATACAGTAGAACTACTGGCCCATGCTAGGCATGTGTAACTCGTATTCACTCATATACCCATTCACTCATACTCCCACTCGGGAGTTTGTTCCACTTATCCACAACTCTACTGCCAAATTTGAACTTCGGAATATACTTCTTCAATCAAAATTTGTCCAACTTTCATCCATTATTGCGAGTCCTATCTTGGTTAGATACCTTCAGCACGTTATTTATATCCCCTTTATTTATTCCTGTCTTCCATTTCTACATCTCAGTCATATCCCCCCTGATTCTACACCTTTCCAGAGAGTGTATTATTATTATTATAATCAAGGGGAAGCGCTAAACCCGGAGGATTATACAGCGCCTGGGGGGGGGGGATGTGGAAGGCATTCAGGCTTAATTCGGGGAACTGGAGCACAGATCCAATTTCCTAAATCAAGAGCCCCTCACCAACATCAAGGAACCTTCCTTGAGGGGTCCAGAGAGTGTAGAGTCAGTGCCCTCAGTCTGTCCTCGTAGGAAAGATTTCTGATACATGGGATCATCTTCGTTATCCTCTGTATGTTTTTCCAGCACATTTATGTTTATTTATCAACATGGAGACCAGAAGTGTGCAACATATTCTGAATGACGAATTACTAAAAATACGAAAAGTATAACCACAGGACTTCCTTTATTTATACTTCCTGATGTGAAACTAGAAATTATATCGTTATTGCGAATATGAAAATGGTATACAGTACCGAGACGTCAGTCCCTCAGCAGAGGGACTGACCACCTCAAAACTACGTCATCAAGGGTGATGGACTGACTACGTCGTCTTCACATCTCTACTGCTTCTGCTAGCTCCTCTGTATTTGACTGAAGAAGCCTACTGTGTAGGCTACTGTGTAGGCTACTGTGTAGGCTACTGTGTAGGCTACTGTGTAGGCTACTGTGTAGGAATAAATATACCTAACTGTTGCACATGTGTCTTATCGTTATTGTGAACACTTACGCACTGTTCTCGTGACTTAATTTATCGTAACCAGAATTCCTCAGTCTTTCTCGCATTCAGTGTCTAAGATCTATATTATTTAGCTCATAATTACCAGAGTTATTTTATTTTCCTAGGATTAGAATGTTACATTTGTCTACAGTGAACCTTATCTACCACGTCTCCGACCACACAGTCAACCTTACGAATTATTTCTTCAGTCAACGAGTATTAAACAAGTGGAATGAGCTTAACGAGGTGACTCAGGCAGACTACACTCACACTTTTAAAACTACGTATGACAGAATGTACGTGATGAAGAATTAAACACATGTGCAACATCTTCATTTGTAGACGTTTCGCCATCCAGTGACTTTATCAGTACAAGGACATGATGTGAAGACTGTAGGACTATATACAGTTGTATAGTTATACAGTCTCCCCATCATGTCCTTGTATTGATAAAGTTACTGGTTATTGAAACGTCTACAATAAAGTTACCCAGATGTTGTACATGTGTCTGATTCTTCACGTATGAGAGGACACAGGAACCTTTAAATACCCGTCAAACTCAACCTCTGTGAATCCCCACCCTCTCTCTCTCTCTCTCTCTCTCTCTCTCTCTCTCTCTCTGACTCTCAGGATGAGGAAAATCCTAGTGAGCAGCGTCAGTGTTCTGCTGGCAGCATGTCAACACATCCAGGAACTCACTCGAACACCTGCTGATTTTCCCGACCAATTCCCGTCATTCTTCCTGAGCGACATTTTCCTTGTGTCTCAATTATTATTATTATTATTATTATTATTATTATTATTATTATTATTATTACTACTACTACTACTACCACCACTACTACTACCACTACTACTACTACCACTACTACTACCACTACTACTACTACCACTACTACTACTACTACTACTACTACTACTACTACTACTACCACTACTACTACCACTACTACCACTACCACTACTACTACCACTACTACTACCACTACTACTACTACCACTATTACTACCACTACTACTACCACTACTACTACCACTACTACTACTACCACTACCACTACTACTACCACTACTACTACTACCACTACTACTACCACTACTACTACCACTACTACTACCACCACTACTACTACCACTACTACTACCACTACTACTACTACCATACCACTACTATACTACTAACTACTACCACTACTACTACCACCACTACTACTACCACTACTACAAAAACATCAGCAACAAACATTATCATAGAAAATCAGATCAATCGACACTTCAATATTTTCAGGGTAACTTGTGTGTCCATGTTAAACCTGTTTCCTGCCTTACTTAAACCTCTTTCTTTTCTTCCTCTTCTATATTCTCATTTTTTTTAACTTCCTTTTCCCTTTTTGTTTCCCTTTTCTTTTTTCTTTTTCTTCTATTTCTTTTTCTCTTCCTTATCTTATTTTTTTCTTCCTTCATTCTTCTTCTTATTATTATTATTACATCTTTTTCATTCTTGTACTTGTATTGTTAATTTTCTTCTTCCTTCTTTTCCATTTCTTCTTGTGGTAAAACCTCAATGTGAAGAGAAGAAATACAGAAAAAATCCCAGCACACTCAGAGAAGTGGAACCAAGGCGGGAAGAACGAATTAATGAAAGTTGTAAAGTGAATAAGGAGTTCAGAGAAGAGGTTCCAGCACGGTAGTCGAAGGTCACTCAGCACCAGACTGCTGAAGAACACATCTGTGCAGATGACGCTCTATGATGACGCAATAAGTGCCAAGAGAACCAATCTGTAGCTAGATGAGCTCTAGAGAGCAATAAGAGCCAAGATGAACCACATCTGCAGCAAGATGACGCTCTAAAAGATGAGCAATAAGAGCAAGAAGAACAATCTGCTCGCAAATGCGCTTAAGATGACGCCAATAAGAGCACGAAGACACAATCTGGAAGAGGACGCTCTAAGATGACGCAATAAGAGCAAGCAAGAACACATCTGTCAGCAAGATGACGCTCTAAAGATGACGCAATAGAGCCAAGAAAGAACTCTATCTGCAGCAAGATGTACGCTACTAAGATGACGCATAAGAGCAGAAGCCCAATCTGCAGCAAGATGACGCTTAGATGACGCAATATTTTAAAAAAAAACGGGGAAAGCCAAGGAGGAACCACATAAGCCCAGGGGCCCCAAGATGACGCTCTAAGATGACGATAGAGCCAAGAAGAACCCCAATCTTACAGCACGATGACGCTCTAAGATGACGCAATAAGAGCCAAGAAGAACCACATCTGCAGCAAGATGACGCTCTAAGATGACGCAATAAGAGCCAAGAAGAACCACATCTGCAGCAAGATGACGCTCTAAGATGAAGCAATAAGAGCCAAGAAGAACCACATCTGAGAAGGTGACGTCATAAGATGAAGCAAATAAGAGCACAAGAAGCACACATCTGCAGCAAGATGACGCAATAAGAGCCAAGAAGAACCACATCTGCAGCAAGATGACGCAATAAGAGCCAAGAAGAACCACATCTGCAGCAAGATGACGCTCTAAGATGAAGCAATAAGAGCCAAGAAGAACCACATCTGCAGCAAGATGACGCAATAAGAGCCAAGAAGAACCACATCTGCAGCAAGAAGACGCTTAAGGATGACGCAATAAGAGCAAAAAGAACATCTGCAGCAAGCTTGACGCTCTAAGATGACGCAATATGAGGCAAGAAGAACCATCTGCAGCAAGATGCGCTTTCTTCTAAGATGACGCAATATGAGCCAAGAAGATTAAACACGACACAGAAGTATGCAAGGAACTGAGCACAAGTTATTGTTCATGTTGTTGATGAATAAGATGATTGTCACACTTCATCACTGAGAAGGTAAGAATGGTGCCAGAAGGGAAGACAGTAGGAGGTAAGAATGGTGCCAGAAGGGAAGACAGTAGGAGGTAAGAATGGAATGCCAGAAGGGAAGACAGTAGGAGGTAAGAATGGTGCCAGAAGGGAAGACAGTAGGAGGTAAGAATGGTGCCAGAAGGGAAGACAGTAGAAGGTAAGAATGGTGCCAGAAAGAGAAAACAGTAAAGTAACCACTGCAGGATCTGGAGACCACAAGAAACACTGTACCGGGAGAAGATATCCTCATGAGCCATTGTGAACGACGCTAAAGAAACATTGTGTGTGACTATAACAATGATCTACACTAGAGACGGGACAACTGCTGGAAAACAGCAAATCTGATGCCAGTATACGAGGTGAGAGAGACAGGAAGTAGTGAACTCCACACCAGCATCACTGATACGTATATTGTTGAAAACAATATAAAATACCAATACGTTGATGATTAAGACACATGTGCAGCAGTTGGGTATCTTTATTATTGAAATGTTTCTCCTACACAGTAGGCTTCCTCAGTCAAATACAAAGGAAGTAGTAGTAATGAAATAAAGATGATGTAATCAGTCCATAAACTTGTAAAAAAAGAATATGAGGTGGTCAGTCTCTCAGCCTGGAGAAGAGTTCGAACCATGGTCTGTCCCCACCGCCCCCCCCCCCCCCCCCCCCCCCCCTATGAACGTATTGTTCCAGACCTCATACGAGGTGGGGATGACACCAAATACAAGGTTGATGGACTGATTACATCATCTTTATTTCATTACTACTGCTCTGTATCTGACATATGTCTTAATCTTCACATTGTAGTGGATGAGGCAAGAAGGTAGAAGATTCTGAACCAGCAGTGATAATAAGGCATAATATAGACATGTAGCGGAGAAGAAAGACAGACAACATTAGAAAACTGTGACAACAAGCACCAACAGCTGCTAAACAAAGGAAACACCGTAATTGGGAAGCAATCAACAGGAGCTGCATCAACGGGGAATGAAGCAGACGCCGTATTAAAGAAAAAGCAACACAGACTAAAAAAGTATGTCAAATTAGCAACAACGATACGACGTAGTTGTACAACACATTACAGCGAACACCAGTTCAATACAGCCAACACCAATAACCTACCCAGCAACCAGTAACATACCAGCAACAACACAATAACATACCAAAAAACACCAATACAATACAGCAACTCAGTAACAATACCAGAACACCACATAACAATACAGCACACCATAAAATACCCAGCAACACAAATTACAATACCAGCAACCAATAACAATACAACAACACAATAACAATACATGCAACACAATAACAATACAGCAACACAATTAACAATCTGCAATACAACCAATTACAATTCCTGCACAACACCAATAACAATTACAGCAACACAAGTAACAATTCCAGCAACACCACATAACCATACCAAGCAACACCAATACAATACCAAGCAACACAATAACAATACAACAACCAATAACAATTCCCAGCAAACACCAATACAATACCAGCAACACCAATATAAACCAATACCAGCAACACCAATCCAATACCAGCTACACCAGTAACAATACAGCAACACCAAAACAATACTGCAACACCAATAAAATACCAGCAAACACAATAACAATACCCAACCAAACAATAACAATACCAGCAACCCAATAAAATACCTGCACTCACCAATAAAATACCAGCAACACCAGTACAATTACAAGCAACCACAATAACAACAACACTAATAGTAATAATAATAATAATAATAATAATAATTAATAAAATAATACTTAATTATAATAATCATAATTATAATAATAATTATAATTATCATATAATAATATAATAATATAATATAATAATAATAAATAATAATAATAATTATTAATAATAATAATAATAATACTAAATAATAATAATAATAAAATAATAAGAAGAATAATAATAATAATAATAATAAAAATAATAATATACTATATAATAATAATTATAATTCAATATAATAATAATATAATAATAATTAATTATAAATTTAATAAAATAATAATAATATAAAAATAATAATAATAATAATAATATAATAATAAATACTGTTATTAATAATAATATTGTTCACCGAGTGAGGTTAGTTGTTCAGAGGACAGGTGTGTCATGTGTTGAATGTTCTACCTTCACTCTCACCCCTACACTCACACTTACACTCACACTCACTCCACTCACCCACTCCAACCACATTCAGTAAAACACACAACTTCAAACTCACAAACTCCCTCACACTCACTCAATTCAGTCACATTCACTCAACTCCACATCACTCACACTCACTCACAACTCATATCACTCAACTCACACTCACTCACACACACACTCACTACATCACCACCCACTCCACCCACAACTCACCTCACCACAACACTCACACACACACACCTACCCCACACACAAACTCACACTCCACAACACTAAATCCCATCCTCACACTCAACACTCACACACGACACACTCCACCTTATCACTCACACTACACTCAACACACACACCACACACACACACAACAACTCACCCACACACACTCCACCATCACCACCTCAACACACCACAACAACTCTAAACAACACACCCACACAACACACACACACACACAACAACAACGGACAGACAGACATACACACAACGCTGCACATAAAACAGGCCTAGTGTCTATCGGACATGTGCCTTGGACCAAATGGTAACTAACAAAACATCTCACACTCACAACACACCTCACACACTACACACACACACCCAACACCACAACACACACACAACAACACACACACCCTCACACAACACCACACACAACTTCTTTCACACACACACACACACACACACACCCACACACACAACCACACATACACACACAACTCACCACAACAACACACACACCACACACAAAACACCCACAACACACACAACACACCACACTCACATCGAGGGTATCATGTATGAAGGCCCCTGGGAGTAGTGATCATGTGGTTCTGTGCTTCGATACATAGATTGAGCTCCAAGTGAGAGAGAGTGCAGGAATAGGCTGGGAAACAACCAAATACAAAAGGTGGGATACTACTCAGGCATGAGGAACTTCTTCAAGACATTCAGTGGTGAGAGGGAACTGACAGGAATACTCGTACATGAAATGATGGGGACTATGTAGCATCAAAATGCAAGGAGGCAGAGAAGAGGTTTCGTTCCCAAGGGAAACAGAAATAATGGGAAGAACTGAACGCGTCCTTGGTTCACCAAAAAAAAAGGTGTTGTCGGGAGGTCAAAATAGGTGTACTAGAGAATGGAAAAGGTACACGAAGACATAGAACTCAGGAAAATAAAGAAAAAGAAATCAGCCGAAGCGCCAGAGAGAACGGAAATATGCACAGATAAGAAGGGAGGCCTCAGTGACACATATGAAAAATGACATAGCATCAAAGTACGACTGACCGACAGCTGTTTGTTACAGGCCACATCAGAGGAAAACAACAGTCAAGGACCAGGTAATCAGATGAGGAAGGGTGATGGGGGGAATTCACAAGAACGACCGAGAGGTATGTCAGGAGCTCAACAAAGATTAACAGAGGTATTTCAGTGGAAACCAGTAGGACTCCAAGAAATCAGAAACAGGGAGGTGGCACACCAAGCAAGTGCTAGGATGACAGGTAAATATAACCAAGGAGGGAGGTGAAAGAAGTGCTATGCGAATCTTGACACCTCAAGGCGGTGAGGACCAGAAAAACATCTCTCCATTGGGTCCTTAAAGAGGGAGCGAGATATTGTGTGAGCCTATAAACAAGATTTTCAACACATCATTGAAACTGGGCACTCCTGAGGTAAGTTATGGGAAAAATGGCAAACCGTAGTCCCAATTTTTTAAAAAGGGAGACCCAGACATGAGGCACTAAACTAAGACTGTATCCCTAACGTGTATGTATGCAAGGTCATGGAGTCGATCATCAGGAGGAGTATGATGGTGGGGAACTGGAAAGAAACAAGTTGATAATTGACAACCATCACGGTTTCAGGGAAGGAAAATCCTGTGTCACAAACCTAACTAGGTTTTATGAAACCGTACAGAAGTAGACAGAGAGCGAGGGTGGGATCGACTGCTATTTTTGGACTGGCAAGAAGGCTTTCGGAACAGTTCTCACAATGGGTTATGCATCAAGCTAGAGGACCATGGCACACATAATAGGAAAGGCATGCAAGATCAGAGAATATCTGACAGGGAGGAAAAACAACGAGTATGGTACGCGACGAGTGTCAGAGTGGGCGCCTGTGAAAGCGGGGTTCCACGGGTCAGTCTAGGACTGTGGTTCTGTTCTTGGTATACTGTGATCGACATAACGGAGGGATAGACTCAGAAGTGTCTTGTTTGCAGACGATGTGAAGTTAATGAAGAAGATGAATCGGACGAGGATCAGGCAGGACTACATAGAGATCTGGACAGGCTACAAGCCTGGTCCCTTTTCTAGCAAACTGCGCTCAAGAATTTAACCATGCCAAATGCAAAGTCATGACCGTAGGAGAAGGGCAAAAGAGACCGCAGAAGGAACAATATGTTTAGTGGCCCAGACTGCAGAAACCTCATATGGAAAAAAGATCTGGGGGTACGTGAGTATAGACACGAGCATAATCTCCTGAGGCGCACATCAATCAGACAACTGCTGCAGCATACGGGGCGCTGGCAAAACCTACGGATAGCGTTCCGATACCTCAGTAAGGATTCGTTTTAAGATCTGTTACACCATCTACGTCAGGCCATACTGAGTATGCCGCCCCCGTTTGGAATCCACACCTAGTCAAGCACGTAAAGAATTAGAGAAAGTGCAAAGGTTTGCAAAAAGACTAGTCCAGAGATACGGGATTGTCCTATGAAGAAAGGTTGAGGGAAATATTGCCTGACGTACCATAGGAGGCCAGGAGGGTCAGGGGAGACATGTAACGACATATAAAATACTGGCGAATTGAGAGGAGGACAACGACGGGAAGTTCCAGAGATGGGACACAGACACAAGAGGTCACAATTGGAAAGTTGAAGATCAGATGAATTCAAAAGGGATGTTAGGTAGTATTTCTTCAGTCATACGAGTAGTCAGGGCCAAGAGAATAGCCTAGAAAGTGATGTAGTGGAGCAGGCACCTTAATAGTTTTGAGGCGAGGTATGATAGAGTAATGGGGCTGGGAGAGAGGACCTAGTAGCAATCAGCGAAGAGGCGAGGGCTGGAGC